CTACCCTGGCTAAGGCCAGAAGGTGGGGGGTGCTCCTGAACACCTGCCAGGAGGCTGCCAGAGTGGACCCTCTTCCTCAGGGGGCAGGCCAGATCTGTGTGGCAGGGGAAAAGAAGCCACTGTGCCATGTTAACCTCACTCAGTCCCCTCCCTCTTCCTTGAGACCCCAGTCAGCAAGCTATGGTGGGGGGGGACCCTCATGGTGCTGGAGTTCCCTTCCCCCACCCCTACCCAAGCCTTCTAACAATGGTAGTCAGAAGCTGCAGCACAGGACTGCCTGGCCCGACTTTATGCTGTGCCAGGAACTGGGGTCACGGAGGGGGAGGGGGGAAAGAATGGAGCCTCTGCCATGTGGACCTGGTCTCACTGTGCCCTGCCCCAGCCTGCCCTGCCCCTACCAAGATTAAAGCCCACAAGCTTGGGGTAATTCTGTGCAGCAGAGAGGCTCCCTTTCCCCATCCTCCCCCCCCAGCCAATCTGGCTGTGCAGGGGCAAAACGGTCTTTTCTGTCTCTTCTCCATGACAGTCCAGGGGTAGGACTGGGCCAGTGCTTGCCTGGAGCAGATGAGCACTGGATGAGGGTAGCAAGCCACTCAGTGAAGGGCCCCTGGCAAGGTGGCAGAATGTGACCTACATTGAAGTGCCATGGTTGTTGTATGGACATTCAAAAAAGGCGTCTAACTGAAAGTGCGTTAGTCTAATACTGTATTCATTGAGGGTTAACTTAGAGTGGAATCTGCCATTTTTAAAGGGCTTTAAGTGCCATAAGCATCTGTTCTGTTACGACTTTAAAGTGCTTTTTGCATGTTTATTGTGCGTTAAGGCTAAGGACAGAAGTTACACATAAACCAGTTTAAGTGATCAGAAGCTGGTTTAAACCTGTAGCAGAACAGACTAATCGGTTCTAAAATGATTGAAACTGGCTTAAAATAAATCTGGTTGAATGTAGTATCAGACTTAACTGATTTGGGTCAAACCGGTTTATGAAACTTCTGTCTGAGACCCCTTCCTGGTTTAAGTTAAATCAGAGTCTTCAAGCATCCCAGCATTTTTCAACCCTAGGCTGGGCTGTGCTATCTGCTCCAGAGCAGGGCTGGCCCTGCCCCTCTGTTCCCTAGCTGGAGCAGTGAGGGCTCGTTCACTGCGCCCCCCCCCCGCCCCCCCCAGCAAGCCCTGACTGGGGTCTGGGGCCAGGAATCCGGGATAAATTCACCTTCCCCTGTACAGAGCTGTCCTGCTAAAACTTAGTGCCAGCTGTGACTGTGGACTACAAATCCCGGAGGCACCTGGAAGCAGGATGAGGAAGTAACAAGCAGCCCTGGGAGTCCTGCTACTGTGGTTGTGTCTGCAAATCCCAGAGACCTCAGGGGCAGCAGGAAGAGCAAGTGAATACACAGCCCAGGCTGTGTTTCAGTTTATAGTTTTTCAGAAAAGGAATTATCCTTTGTTCACGTTTTTATGAATTCAATGCCACTGCCTTCCTCCCCTCTTCCCCCAGCCCTTCACCCAGGCAGAGCATGGGCTGGGGCCTGGCCACACCCCCTCTGCTCCAGCAGGGCTTTCTCTCCTGCCTCTTCTTTAGCAGTGTCTGGCAGATGTGATTTAGCACTGGCTTGAGCCATTGCAGGCATGTGACTGCATTTCCTCAATGAAAAGTGATTTTCTGCTTGTTTGCTTGTTGGTTCAACCCCTTCAGTTTAGACTAACTAGCAAGGACTGAATCAATTCAGCCTCGGGCTTTTTGACTGTCTGTACCTGCCTAAGTGTAACATTTGTGTTTAGCCTCAGAGGGACTACTAGTAAAAGTGAGAGAGAAGCAGGGTTTGGCTCATAGTGAGCTTGCCCATTCAAAGTCACACAGGGGAAGGCAGGTTTAAAACTTGGATAAATAATTTAAGGATCATATAAAACTTATTTCTATAATTCCTTTTAACAATTTAATGTTTTGCACATATTTGAGAGAGAGAGACAATACTTCAAGACAGGGCTGTCCAGCTGAAGACTGCATACAGCGCCTGAGGCATCAGCCTTTATCCCCTGGGCTCCAGGTCTGGGTGCCACTCCCTTCCTCACTTTCTGGGTGCTGCTGCATGAATTAATATACTAAACAGAAATGGTGATCTGTTTTAGCTTTTTGTTTTACAACACAGAACACCTGGGTTCACTTCAACACTATTGAAGGGCCTATCAAATTACATGGGCCTCTATCCTCCAAAAACTTACAGATACGGGTATAGTATACACTATGAGTGGCCAGAAAATAACTACTACTACTATAGTTGAGAGAGCATTTCATGGGCAAGGTCCATTCCATAGTGCTGAGCTGTGCTTTTTTGCTCAAGACAGTTTGTGGTTTAACTTTAAAAAAAAAAAAATGAAGAACTATTACAATATTATATTTTGCTAATGTAACTTAAAAAATGGAGATGAACATTATTTTTGTAACTTGAAGTAACTTTTAACAGGTTAATTAGTATAGATTAATTGTTGCTAACTGGTTCAATGGTCATATTTCTTGGGCGTATTGATGGTATATTTGAGTGAATCAGAGTTCAGGGATTTGCAGTGACCAGTTATTCGAACTACTGCACTGTTATCCAATCAGAGTGTAGATTGCAAACGACTAAATAGTTGATATTCAATAATTGCCTTACCTCCCTACACTCTGATTGCCTAAGATGATTCTATTTCAGTTTCATTTCTCCGGCTCTTCTTCCCTTCGTGCCAGCTCTAAATGCTAAAGGCCTCTATATTTGCTGCATGGGAGTTCTCTTGTGTGACTGCTGGTGTGAAGTTGCCTCTGGTAGGAGAATCCTAGAGCAGCTGTAGAACTGGCTGCTTGCTGTTTTCCTAACTGTTTTGACAGATTCTTCTATCCATTGGCAGCTGAGTCTGAAAGGGTCTGTCCAGCACTACCAAAGGGTCAGAAGACTGAAACAGTGATATGGAATTACTTGTTTTGAAATATATTATCATAGTCAAAGATAATCAGAGATTATTGGGGGTGGGGCGTGTAGTATGTAGATTCTTTTCTTTCATGTTGATAACTCCCATACTGCTTGAGGTAGTTATTCATGCACATTCAGTGTAGGTTATACTCTGAATATAAACCCAGTCTAAAACAAAAGATAACTTTTTGACTGCTATTAATGAGATATAAATCAATGTATTGTATTTTTGTTTCCCTTTTTTAGATTCCAGCAAGAAAATTAAAGATGTTCTAGAAGAATTCCATGGCGATGGTGTGCTAGCAAAATATAATCCGGAAGGGGTAATTCTTCTTTTTATGAAAAAACATATATGAAAATTGTATTGATTGGAAAAGTAAATATTGTTTTAAAAATGCCTTTACTACATAAGTGCAGATATTTATAGACAAATTAGCTGTTTGTGATGGGATTTTATTGTTTGAAAGGAAAAGGTATTTTGAAGAACTAAAAATGGTCTATCAGTAATGTCACGTAAATGTTTTTAGTGTTGGGACATAACACTGACTATCCCATGCAACATCACAGTGTGCCATGGGATCCTTTCAAGGGTGCTGTACAATGATAGCACAATATCCTATACTAATGTGCAGGCACCTACACATCTAACAGCTAAACCCAGAGTCCATAGTATGAAAGACATTCTGACCAACTCTGGTATTTCTGAGTTCTTTGCAACAGAAAAATTGGATCTATTATTTTTCCATTATCAAAAAAAAAAAGATGAAAGTTAAGAGTTGGCAGTTTTCAAGGGGTGCTTTGAGTGTAACTAGGGGTACCTTAAATCTAAAAAGGTTGAGAACCACTGTGCTATACCCATCAGTAGACTATGATGGTGGTGATTGTATATCCCTTAGCAATTATCTACACATCCTAGCTTATAATTTGTATGTGCTACCATCAAGTTCCCTTTTTTCTCTTTGTATTTTTAAAGATTTTTTATAGCTGCTGTTATAACTGCTTTCATTTCAACCCTAGGTCAAGCTACTTCTGTAACTAATGTAGTTTTCTTTCTCAATTGTGGCATTGTATCTTTCATGGTTATATAGTAAGATATTTATATTTATTTCTCTTTTTTTTGTTATCTGACAAGATGAGGACTAGTGCAGAATTCACCTGCATTGGCTGTATTACTCTCTGAGATAGGAAACAGGCATCTGTAATTTTTAGAAATTCCAAGGATGTTTTTGTACTTGCAGCATGACATCTCTAGCATATTTCACTCAGACCCAAGTCCCTCAGGTTAAAGCATCTTTTTTCTTCCTCTTTTTATATATAAGATTTTCTGAAGATAGTCATCCTGTTCCCTTGTGGTATTCTGTGGTCTGTAACAGATAGCAACTCTACTCATCTCATGTTTTATTTATTATAACATTATTCTATAATCATTCAAAGGTATTTGCTTTGGTAACTTGGAAATAAACAATACTGTTTTTGACACAGAATGTCATAGTGTATTCTGTGAAACATTGCAGCGTAATATATTTATGGAGATAAGAGTAAGCTAATAGAATTTCTTGTTCAATGCATGCAAGGTTCTTTGGGTAAATGTGATATTTCTTATTAGACCAACTAAATTGTTCAAGGTGTGTTACTTTGTGAGCTCAGCAAAAGTATTTTGTTCTAATGCTGACAAAGCAGTCATCAGGGCTAGGGACAGAAGCTGCACACAGACTGGTTTAAGTGATCAGAAACTGGTTTAAACCTGTAACAGAACATAAGTTCAGTGCACATAAAGCAGTTTCAAAATGGCTGAAACTGGTTTGAAATAAACCTGGTGGAATGTAGTATCAGACTTAACTAATTTGGGTCAAACTGGTTTATGGAACTTCTGTCCCAGACTTCTTCCTCGTTTAAATTAAACCAGAGTTCTCCAGCATCTCAGCGTGCTATGCATCCCTGGGCTGGGCTGTGCTCCCTGCTCCAGAGAGCAGGGCTGGCCCTGCCCCTCTGCTCTCTAGCCTGAGCAGGGACAAGGACGTGGCCAGATGTGTCCCAGCATAGCCCTGTTAAGGCAAACTGGGCAGGGAGGAGGTTAATTCTTCCCTCGTTTCCCATTCCCAGCCAGGGTCCGCCTGTCTTCAGGCAACCAGCAGAGGTGGAGGCAGCACCCAAGGTTGGCAGACCCCAGCTGCGGTCACTGGGGTTAGAAGGGACAGAAGCAGGAATTAACTCCCACCCTCCCTGCCCACTTCCCCTTAATGGGGCCATGCCAGGACGTCTGGAGCAGCAAGGGGAGTGGAAGGGGCAGTAGCCTGTGTCAGGGTGCCCCAGGAAGCACATGTAGAGAGTGGGTTTATTTCCCCCCGCCCCTACTTCCCTGTCTCACTGGCAGGGACTGCAGGCATCCCGGCATGGGCCCTTTAAGGCTAAGGAGATAGGGAGGGGGCTGTCTATTTTGGGAGATTGCAGCTGGTGCTGAGCACCCCCACCATCACCAGGGAATGGGGAAGGGGGCTCTGTGTGATGCTGAAGGGGGACTCTTCCCCCTCCTCCTCCTCCTCCCCTGCTGCTGCGGGGCAGGGAGGGGGTTTCTGTGCGGTGCTGTCTGGCCCCAGAGGGGGACTCTTCCCCTTCCTCCTCTCACCACCCCACCCACCTGGATGCTGCTCTCTGCCTGCCCGCAGCCCCATTCCGCTGCCCCACTGCATGAAGGGACCATTTTGGGATTTTTGGTGAGCAGTGGCAGGGGAGGTGGGGGTGCTAACCTGGCTCATGACAGCTCACTAAAACTCCCTAAGTGGCTCTGTGGCCAAACTAATTGCCTACCCTGGGGTAAGCAATGGAGGAAGAGCAAACCCTCAGCTTTCTGCCTTGGAGCTGACAGGTTTTCCTAGTGAATTACAGACTCTTTAGCTGTCTGTTGTTAGCAAGTGTTAGTTCACACTTGTGTGACATGGTATAAACCAAATGATGGTGGGGGCGGGGGAAGAGGGAGAAGAGTCCCTCTCCAGCACTGCACAGAGCACCCCTCCCTGCCCCACAGCAGCAGGGAAGAGGGAGGAGGAGGGGGAAGAGTCCTCCTCTGGGCCTGGGCAGCAGAGTTGTGTTCTGAGATTGCTCCTGGCTGTCAGGGAGCCACTGCAGGGGTCAGGGCTCTCACCCTCCTCCCCCACCAAGGGGGTCTGGCCATGCCCCTGTCTGGCCACGTTCCCCCTTTCCCCACCCTCCGAACCGTGCAGGCCATGGTGGGGGTTTAAACCCCTCCTCAGTTATACTTAGGCCTGCTGGGGCCTGGCCATCCCCCTGCCCAGCTCAGCTTCTCTATGGACGGGAAGTGAAGGCTGCTGTAATGCCTCTGGGCTTCTTGCCTGAGATATTGCAGGCATGTGCCTGCATTTCTGAAATGGAAAGTGAATGTCTGTCCACTTGCAAATTGGTTCAGTCTCTTTGGGTTAGACTAACCTCCAAAGAATGAATTAATTCAGGCTCAGGCTTTTTGAATGTCTATCCCTAGCCTAGAAGCTGCTTTAACAGTTAGCCCTCCAAATTTGCTATCTCTATGGATTTTCAAAACTCATGTTTTAAAATATTTCAGCTGGATTTTTATCCATCTTGCACCTTATAGAATTTCAAATACCTTTGGAGGGTTAGAGAATTTAATGCAGTACTACAGATGACACTGGAAGATTAGCCTGTATTGAGGGACTGGTGTAGTGGCTCCAACCTCACTTTCTTTGTAGCTTTTGTGTAGAAGTGTGACTGAAGCGTCTGCAAACCCCACTGTCCCTCCAGATATCATTTAAGCCAGCTATCATTATTAACAGCTGCCATAATTTATAGCAGTGTTTGGACTAAGAGCCTCTCCCACACAGCAACTTGAAGCACCTCATGTCCTCTGGTTCTTTGTAGCAATTTTATGTTGCACTGCTAACAGATTATGGTCTGGAAACTGGCATGATTGGTGATGGGTAGATCATTGAAATGTAAGGGATCATACATCATAGGGTTCTTGTTCATTTAAAATTTTAATTCTCTACTTTCAGACAATACAGGTGGTACTTTTTATGTGGACTAGCATTTTAAATGATATTTTAGGGTTAGGATGTGACTGGCTTTTATCTGGGTATTTGTCAAGATAGATGCCTTCCTTTCTTCATGCAGTCATTCTGTTCTTTTAGTAGCACGTGAGATTGTGCCTCTCAGTGACACTGTCTCCTCAGCACTGGCTGTGAACAGACATTCATTTCTATTGGTGGAATTTTCTGAGAAACTTCAGTTTGGCTCCAGTCTGAGGGAATTGGAGCAACCCAGCCAACTGCTCTCCAGGCTAGGGATCTATGCCTGAGAAGTGGGTGAGGCAGAAAAGAGTAGCTACTCCTCTGCTCTGCTCCCAGTGATGGAAGCAGAACAAGGCAGAAGTAGGCAACCCGCCCCCCCACAACTCTGGCGGCTCCATTCTGGAGAGTGGGTATGACATGAAGGAGGTGATGGGAGCAGTGGGCCAGGAGGTGGCCTGCAGAAACTCTCAAAGCTCCCAAACTCTGCAGATTGGGATACAGTTTACAAGCATTGTTTCTCTCACAAGATCATCCAGGTTGATACCTGGAAGATCTTTCTCTTAGAGGGGGTGGATTTCCATTGGGAGAAATTGAATGGACATTGGTATATTCCTAGTTCCTACCAGGAAAGCAGTGATATAAATTTCTCCTAATTTAGAGGGATTATATCATAGCTAAAATATAAAGGACGGCGCTCCAAATTTATTTACTGTATTTGCTCAAATACAAGATGAGATTCCACCCCGCATCTAATCAACATGGGGGGAAAAGAAAAACTACTCATCTTACTTTCACATTTGAGGAAACCTTATTAAATACATTGCATATCATTAAACTGTTGCCAAAAGCAGCATGTGTTCAGTAATGGAAACCAGCTTTGAACTTGAATAAATGCAGCCAACACTGTGTATGACTGTAAAACATGTGGCCAATATTGGGCAAACATACTGATGGGAACCTAGTTTTATTTTTATTTTCTTTGGAAAAAAATAGAGATAGATATAGATCATCTAGCATAAAACTTTCCATCACACACCTTAAACCACATTAAGAAACCATGCATCCATTACAATAAACGCACCCACCCGCTTCCCTTCCCCAACCCAATCGCAGTCCCTTAGTCCAAGCCCCAATTTGGGTTTACATTCTCAGTTCATTCCCTGGCCTTGTCACTGTCATTGTCGTTGTCACTACTGCTGCTGATGATCCTGTTGCTGTCTTCCTCGCTGTCTCCAGGTCCACTTGCACTGTTGTCCTTTTCATTCTCCCTGTCCTCTTCCTCT